TTTAGGGTCCTAAATCCTAAACCCCAAAACCCAAACCCGACCGGAGCCCCTTCCGTCCTGACCAGGCGGATGCAGTAGAACCCCAGGATCGAGAGCACGACCTCAGGTTGCTAATGTAGGGTTTAGGGTTTAGGGTGTAGGGTTTAGGGTTTAGGGTGTAGGGTTTAGACTTCAGGTTGCTAATGTAGGGGCCGTAATAAACATCCTTTAACGGGTTCCTTAAAACGACTACTATAAGGGTAAGGCTACTTTTCGGGTTTAGGGTCTAGGGGCCTTAATAAGTAGAATAAGGTTTCGGGGTCTATTATACTACAGTTATTTCAAGAGACACCCGCAAAATAGCATAGGTAATTATTCAGGCTCCTTTTTTGCAGGGCCAGGGATAATCCAAAGGGTCCTAGAAGCGTCTAGAGAAGCGATGAGGGTTGAAACCCTAAACCCTAAACCCTAAACCCTGAACCCTGAACCCTGAACCCTGAACCCTGAACCCTGAACCCTAAACCCTAAACCCTAAACCATTCTCTGTTCTTTTTCGGGTTTTGTGGGGGTTTAGAAGGATTACGTAGAGGATCCGGAGTCCTAGCAAGTCGGGTTGTACGTACCTTAGCTGGAGCTTTTTGCTGAACCTAGGATTTAGGGTCAATTAGGGTGCTACAGTTAAAGGAAACACGAGGTCGGGAGTTTAGGGTTTTTAGGGCTTCTATACGGCATCTATAAGGCATATAGACCTTCTATAAGGCTCCTATAACGGTAACTACACACCTGAAAATGTCCTAGATACAGCAAGCTGAACCTACGGCTGCCCTTCTCACAACCTTATCTTACCAAGTCCACTCAGCCTCCCAAGTGCGTTTTGTGTCGGGGGTTGGTTGGAGCGTTTCTTCGGAAGGACCTCTTGATTGAAAGGATCCTCTGCACAGAAACCATGAAGACGAGAAAACCCTACACCACCCCCTACTTCTTGTCTAGGGGGGGTTGAAAATGAAATATTTCATACGTCCCTACAACAAGCAGCATGCCAACATGTGCAACACACAACATGCAGCAGGCACGCTTCGGACCATCCCCCCTCAGCGCCGATGGATTTTTTGCTCGCATTCGCGAGCCATTTTCGGGCCCCTGGGCCGGATCCTGGAACGGAGCCCGGAAAAGGGCTCTATTCGCAGAAGCCAATCGCCACACACATCCCCACGCCACCCCGGGAACACCAGCAAAAGCCCGGAAAATGAAAACCACAGCAGCGGTGGAACCCGCCGGAAACGACGACTGTCTCGAGGATGGGCGGGGCCACCCCCCCGACATTTTCATTTTCGGGCTTCTGGGCCGAATCCCGCGACGGAGAGGCTCTATTCGCAGAAGCCAATCGCCACACACATCCCCGCGCCATGCCGGGAACCAGCAAAAGTGCGGAAAATGAAAACCACAGGGGTGGAACCCGCAGGAAACGACGACTGTCTCGAGGATGGGCGGGGCCACCCCCCGACATTTTCATTTTCGGGCTTCTGGGCCGGATCCTTGACGGACCCCCCCGACATTTTCATTTTCGGGCTTCTGGGCCGGATCTCGCGACGGAGAGGCTTTATTCCCTGAAGCCAATCGCCACACACATCCCCACACCACCCCGGGAACACCAGCAAAAGCCCGGAAAATGAAAACAACACGGGTGGAACCCGCAGGAAACGACGAC